ATAAAAGTCATTTTGAGATGAAGAAAATAGACATGTCAATTTAGTTATTTCAGTCTACTCACGGTTGACGTCTAGCTGCCATTCCAGCATGGGCTTCAAACTGTGAAGGGCTTATCTGTTTACCCATGAACAAAAATCTTAATGCTTATCATACCATTTGCACTTGTATAAAAATAAGGTAGTTGGTGCCAATAGGTATAAGACAATACCTCTATATCACAACAACTGCATACTATACCACTTCCTTTTTTGTAACCTCCAAGTAATCTCTGAAACGCAACTCACATCAGTCAAGTCATATTTTTAAAAATAAAAATCAAGTCATATTTTAAAAAATAAAAATCAAGTGCAGATCGACCCATAAACACAAAATATTAAGAGAAAATATCAAGACACCTGTCCTTTGACATAGTAAGCTAACTCAGCACCATCTGGTAGGCCATTAGGCAGAAAAAGTAACCTGTGTAAATCGTTGTCCCTGAAAAAAGAAATTTTCAATTCAAACTTCAAACTACATTAGCAAAGATATTTCAATTCACATGGAGATACTAGAGAGAGAGAGAGAGAGAAAAACACCAGAAGTATCCTTAACTGGAAAAAATACAAAACAAAACAAAATGTACCTTTTCTTAGTGCAGCCATCAGTACTCCTCTTCTGCAGTATGCATGAGGGGTAAGTGTAGGTGCTTGGCCTGCAGATAAAGGTTTGTTGTGAATATACTAGAAGAAAAGGACAACAATTTAATTGAACGGAAAACCTTCTACATATGCAAGCAGCCCAAGCACATGCTTAACAAACAAGTATCAACAACTAGCAATTAAACCAAGAGGGAGAACACACTTCTTCACCACACGTTTCCACTCATCAGATGTCTGGTTCACATACATTTGCGGTTCAAAATGATTCCGTACACGGGAATATAAGAAAGGGCTTTCACTTTCTATAAATTGACTGCAACATCAAAATAAAATAGGTAAGAAGTCGTTTCATCTCTTTTTCGTTTAATAGTCAGGTACGTTTTGTTTACACAAGAGAATAGTTACTAAAGTATAAAATTGATAGAATAAGACAGAATCCAGAGTTTTCTGAAATGCTAGAAGTAAAAGCACAAATACTAATTAATATCGATTTAGCAAAAATTAAGTCTTCAATCCTCAAAGCAGTGGCAACTGAAAACCTTAAGACTAATTATGTAAGCAAATAATTCTGGAAGTTAGGCTTTATTCTCAAAGCGCAAGCAGATACACCATTTCGCACGACTTACAGTGTTATCAAATTGCCCCGCCATGGCTGCTATGGCGGATATACATGGCGGTTTTTGGGCTCGCCGCAATGGTAAATATCGGCCGCTATTGCGGGTTTTTCCGCCATAATCCGCAATAACGGCGCCACAATGTGGCCGCTATGGCGGGATTTTGGCTCTCCGCCATCCGCCATCGACAACACCGCGACTTAGTGAAGTCACATAAAGGCGTCACAGAAATAGACTCTGGTTTAACTCTTTGCGGCTTGTCAAAAATAAAAAACTCTTTCCTAAGGGGGTCCGTGGAACGTAGAAATCACTAAGTGGTTAAACTTCAACACATTGATATTTGTCATAAAGTTTTGTTACTGCTTAAAAAATATTGACAGCGAAAACTACTTCTGACTATGAAGGTTGCCGACATCTAAATGATTGGTTTTACACGCTGGACTTTCAATAAAAAACAAGAGATGAGAGAGAAAATTTATTGAGAATATGTTATGGTTTTATACAAATGAATAAGCACAGGCCACTAACCCTTAATTATATTAATCACAGACTTATAATCCTAATTAAATAAGAAAACTATTTATAATACTTACCAAAATTGTAAACCAAATTAAATTAGAAAACAAATCATGAAACATAACAAAAAAGAAACAATCCTAATCATAATACTTACAACCAAGTATCATGAGATATCTTTCATTTATTCTGCTACCAAGTATCATGAGATATCTTTCATTTATTCTGCTACCCCCACAAAGCCAAAGCTCGCTAAGCATTAAGCTTGTTAGTTGTAACAATTTCCAAACACTTAAAAAGGGAAATATAATACGGGATTCATGAAACATGACTTGGAAAGGCAAATGGTGGAGGCGTAGGAGAACTAAAACTAAGGCAGATGATACATGACTGGTTATTAATGGAAATTTCATGGCAACAAAAACTAGGACTTTTCGATATTCGCCAAAAACAAAATATGGAAGATTTAAACCATGGGAAAATTTAGGAAACCAAAATAATTGTAAAGAATGAAAATGAGATTTGAAAATTAGGTTGGTATGCACCATAGGCAAGGATATGATTCACAATGGGAGGTTGGTATGAGTTACAAATAATTCATAACTAATCTATACTTCTTCCATCTCACACAATAAATGTTACATTTAGAAATATCTGTTTGTTATTTTAGAATATCAATGAGACATTGGTTACCTTTTTCACTAATACCCTTATTTATGGTACCTCAATCCACCTAAAGACACCACTAACTACTTCATTGGAAAGGGTAGTTTGGTGAATGTGATTTTTAAGAAGTGTACATAACCTTAAACAACACATAATATCTTAATATGACAGGGAAAGAGTAATAACTGAGGTCAAGCTGAACCTGTGAGTATAAAGTCCAAACTAAATTTAGATGGTAGAGGTCAAACATCATTCGGTTTAAGGTACAGCCTGAATATTAAGAGATATCATTTTTTTACTTTTGGGTTTATTCTGGTTTACCTGTTGTTTGTATGAGGCATGCCAGTAAACTTTGTAATGTAATTTTTATGAGGTGGAACCTTCCTGTTGCTTTCTAGAAGACTTTCTGCAGAACTCGTGGAAAAAATATAAACAGATGTAAGAAATATGCAAAAGAAACACCTCTAACTATATGATATGTAGTCTGCATCCAATATGACTAATATGTCTACCAAAACATGTTACAGTAAACAACATGCACAGGCTACTCTATGTTTTATATTTCTATTCCTTCTATCCTGGATACTGTGCAATGATAATTCTTAGATATAAAATCATTCAAAAGCTTTCGCCTAGCAACTTAAGCTTTTAGAATGTGTTGGAGATTGACAATAATATTCTCCTTGATGATAGACCAGATGACTATCACGATTGAGAGTGGGTTTATTTATTTGAGTTTTTTAAAAGAAATAAGATTTATACTTTGACAAAGCAACTTTTTTAAAATAAATAGAATGCTTCTAAACTAGAAGAAAAAAAACAAATCATAATTATATTGAGAAGCTACTTCTATAAATATTGAGTATTAGTTTCAAGGAGTTTAATATTGCAGGTAGTTTTTTTGCCTTACACTTACAATAGGCTTACTCTTCAAAAGTGCACTATACAGACACACATTTAGATATATATGTTACATAAAACAATAACTGGTTCAAATTTAGTATTCAGATAGTTGAACGTTAAATCAGGACTTATGTAAAATGTTTTAAAGCTAGATAGTTGGGCATTAGTTTCAAATCAGGACTTATGTAAAATGTTGTAAACCTTTCAAGACTACCAATAACATGCCCGCCAAAAATCTAAACCACAAAATTAGCACATTTTCCCAGCACACGTACCCCCCCTTTTAAGACATTTGATTTGACCAACATGAAACTAAAACCTATAGGCCCCATAATGCAATAATAAACTAAAGAAATAATTGTCACCTTTCCAAACCTGGAAGGTTTCCTCGTTGATAGATGAACCGGCCACATTCTTTATAATCTCATCTGGCATGCTGTTTGGAGCAGTTTTTATTTCATGTATAATGCTATAAATTGGTTTTCCATTTTCTAGGAATATGTGATTATTTGGATGTCTAGTCTTAGCACCAGCATGCTGCTCGAACTCATAGGCACTGAGCACCTGAGAAAACATTGACATTAGCTGTCTGGTAAAAACAGGGCACAAAAGTCCAATAATAAAGCTAAATAAGTCATATATCTTACTCTAGAGTAACTGCACATTGAACAGCCACACAAATATCCACCGCTACCAATAACCCCTTCCAGCTCAACCTGGCAACAATTTCAAAATATAAGAAACCTAGCAGAAGTGTTGAAAACACAGACTATGATAATTCATGTTTTACCTTTCCAGGGTTGTAAATATATTTCACTGCAGCTCCATCAAGGATACCAGTTGCTAAGAGCTTTTTGACATTTGTGGGGAAGCAGTTAGGGACTACTTTCTTTGACATTTTCAATTCCATATTGCCAGAATACGATTCCATATATCCATCAGGAAGATATCCCATGCCATATGAGCTCTCTAACAAGCCACTATTATAATCATCCTTTGCCAAATATTCATCATCCCCGTGATAGCCATTGCCATAGCCATCAGTATAGCCTGCGGGTGTTTGATAATCATAGTCCTCCTTCTTTTTACTGAACTTAAAAGTAATTTTTCTTATTCCAGTCGAACTAACATGCTTCGGGATTTCCATCACAACACGGGACATCACTGCATCCTTACTACTAGTGCTTTTATCATACAGAGAAGTATTATTGTTATTATCGTTATTCCTATCAACAGCCTCATCGCTAAGAGTGTCATGAGAACTAGAATTCTCCAAACAAGTAGACGTTAGTTCACCGCATTCTGCATGGTTGACGTTTTCTGTTTCCGTAGGTTGGCTACTGATATCATGAAAGGTTAGCGCGTGTTCCGTCGCAGAAACATTTGGATTCGAAACTTCAGAACGCACTTCGTCATTAGAAACCTCTTTTGCTTGTTTTTTATTCGGAGAAACATCCGGTGGTTCAATATCCGCAACACATTGGTGATAGTCACGTTTCAGCTCCGCCTTCTGAACCTCATTATTTTCCGTTCTTCCATCTTCCAATGCTTGCAAACAAACAGCTTCTTCTCCCATCAAAATCAAATACCAGAGCCTCTGAGAATTCAAACCACACAACAACAACTACCAGAAAAGCAAAACTACCACACAGCATCCACTAATTAACCAATGCTAGACTTGAATTTTCGTTTCACTTGAAATTCATCCAATAAACTCCTGAACATGAAATCCAGAATTAGAAACAGTTTTTGATCAATTAGAATCAACAAACACAAGAAAAAACACAGAAATGAAAATAAAAACAAACAATAATTCAATCCACCAGTCCAACAGAAGTTCCAAAATGAACATTTGAATTGAAAATAACCGTATAACCGTTTAATTCAATCAATTAGGAGATTAAAAAAATAGATAAACCAGAATTAACCTACACCAAAAACAAAAACAAAAATCGAAAAACTCAATTCCAAACATGTTTAATCCATAAAATTGAAAGAAAATTGAGAGAAAACCTGAAAGCAATATGAATCGAGTAATATACTAACAGATCTGAGATTGGCAGTGAACTCTGCAGTGAAGGAGAGAGAGATTGGAAAGTGTTAGGGTTTGGTTTTAGATGAAAGGTAAAGAGAGAAAAGTGAGAGTGCGGGAACAAACTGAAGCGAAAAGCTTGGTTCGTGGTTGAGATTTCGACTTTGTATATGGGATTGGAAAGAAGAGAGCGAAGAGGCGATTTAGTTTAGTAAAAAAGAAACTGTCTAAAAAATAAAATTAAATGGGAAATTAAAGTGTCATAAATGAGAATTGTCGTCACTAATCACGATTCACAAACTTTTGGAAGGGACGAGAAGTGAGATGGATAAAGGAATGGGACCCATTAGAAATTGGGCCTATAGTGTTCCGCCACGTGAGATGACTTGTGAGATCTAATGGCCGCCATCGTCAGCCGTTTTTTTGTGATGAAGTGTTGTGCAAGTTAACACGTGTAAGGATGATATATATATATATATATATATATATATATATATATATATATATATATATATATATATATATATATATATATATATATATATATATATATATATATAAATAAAAAATTCGAGCTATCGCATATGTACAGTATGGAATCATTTATAAAATATGAATTCCAATTGGTTGATACTCACATAATTACAAATACAAGTTAATAATATACATTAACTTTTAAGCATTCATTTGTACTTATAATAAATCGTACAGCTGATTTTCTAACTTTAATTATATAAACAACAGCAAAAAAAATTTAGAGATTGACATCAAAATGAACAGTCTACAGCTGGTATCTCATAGATACGTTCACATCTATCGGTGAATCTATATGAATTAACAAACCTCAGTTGAATCCAACTGAGTTAATTCTAAAAATTTATTAGTCTATTTTTCCAAACCTAAGATGTATGACAGCTCTCTGTTAAATTTCAGTTTTAAAACTTTCTTATCTTATTATGTCATTGTTCTTGACTGATCCAACGGCTAGAGTGGTCCCAGTCTGACCTCCTCCTTCGGCACGGCCCGTGCGAACACGGTCCGGGTTCCCTCGCCTTCTGTCGAGCACCATCGATCGTTTGTCCATCTGGATCAGGACTTACCTATGATAATCGACGAGCGCCTCTCAATTTGCCCGACCTCAAGTCGACCAGACAATCAGAAATCGACCAGACCGCTGCCCATAACCTACATCCTCCTTGGAACTAACGGCTAGTTGCAAGCACACTTGCTCGGTTTGACCAAGTCCTGGCAGTTACCTATTTTTGCAGACCTGCATATTTAGACCCAAAAATAGAGATCAATGGCCAAGCGCTAGGGGCACTATATAAACCCTCACTCATGTGAGGGTCAGGTATCGAATATTGACTATTCATCACTAAAACCCTAATACTTTGCTTGTATCTCTTTTGCTCCCACACTTACTTGATCATCAGAGTGCCTTGCAGGTACAACCCCCCAGTTTTCCTCCTCGACTTTCCAGCTCGTTTGAAGATTATCATTCGGCCACCTTGCAAGTTCTTATCAACCAGTCAGATAAGTGGCGTCGTCTGTGGGAAACTATCTTCCCCATTTTTTATCCTTTCCATTCATCAATCATGGTCTATCACAATGATCACCACCTATTTGGAAAGACTGTGTTCTCCCCGACACGCAAGATTGACGGAAGCCAAGAACATTCTCACCTCGAGGATAACTTTGGCACCCGTGACGGACATACTGCATCCCCGAATTCCATCGATAGTGATTGCATCAACAATCTATTCTTGGACGAATAGCTTCCCGAGAACCCTGTCCAAGACCAGCTAGAGATTCTGCAATTGGTTGATTCTTAGACGAATAGCTTTCTAGGGTTGGCCTCAGTTATTGCAATTACATGCTGATTTTTGCATTTTATTTATGGGATGGCTCCACAAACACCTTTCATCTTGCAACTGATATGCTTACCCCCATCTTATTCGACATTACGGCCATTACTGGCCTTCATCCCACAGGTGAAGTTTTTCTCCCTACTGAAGTCGATGAAGATGTATTAGTGGAAATTGAAAATTTTGTTTTCCTAGTTGATTTTCAGATCATGGACATACCTAAAGATGAAGAGACTCCTATCATTCTTGGTCGACCATTTATGCTGACTAGTCGATGCAATTTTGATATCGAGACAGGTAATATCACACTAAAATCTTTTGATGAGTAGATAACTTTAAAGGTGTTGGCAATCAAAAAGCAGGGTGCAGGTGAAAAGAATCAAGCTTCGGTTGGTATGATTAATTTAGCAGGAGACAACAGCAGTTTAAAATCACCCCTAGAAAAAGTCTCCAGCATAAGCTCTCAGGTGGAATCAACAAAAACTTCTAAGTTCAGTCCAGAAGTCAACAAGAGAAAGAAAAGGAAACTCAAATGTGAGGAGACGGAAGTTGGAAGGTGTAATACCCCAAATTTGTCCTACCCTTTCTTTTTTTGTCATCTGACTTATGAATCTCATTCTCCTCATATGCATTACTTCCATTAGGTCATCTAATAGATCATGCATCATTAATAAATATGGCATTGGGATTAAGGGTATTGAAGAATTAGGGTTTCTTTATGGCTTTGGGGATCTTATCTTTATTCAAGGGATTAAAGTTGTTTCTTCAATGATCAGGGCAAGATGTTAGGGTTTTAACTTGTTATGCTTCATCAATTAGGGTCTTGGTTCTCTCCATCGCATCAAGCTACCTCCATTATCAATGTGCATCCAAAGAAAGAATCAGGGTTTCTTATCCAATGTACTTGGACTTTGTTAATGCATCATCCAAGGGTTTATCCAAGAGGCCATGAGCTAGGGCATTCATTATCTTCTTGTGTCTATCATCCCTACATGGCTTAGGGTTTATTTCCTTAATCATATAGTCTTCAAGGGAGGTCTTTGTAGAGATTGTCATCAGTAGACGTTGTCATTTCAAAGGGGTTCAACTATTGTTTAAAGTGCAAGTTATTAAAGATATCATGGTTTATTCATGGCACATTAGGGGTTTGATTCAATGTCGCTTCTCTAGTCAATTATTGCTTAAATCTCAAGACTTATGGCCATAACTTTCATACGAGGATATTCATTCGGATTATTTTCACAAGTTAAGGTTGTGGACACTTGGTACATTATGTTTCATCTGAATATTTCACTTGTGATGCAAATTACCTCATATGGTAATTCATTCAATTAGGGTTATATCTGTCAGAAGATTAGGGTTTCCATATGGTTCGAGATTAGGGTATCAATTGAGCATGATTCAAATGTTGTTTTTATTTGAGCATGAAATAGAATTATGATTTGGAGTCTCCTCAACTTATAATATTGTATTTCCATCAACATTCATCAAGAACCATGGAGTCGGGAATGGATCATTTATCTAAGGATTCCTTTGAGGCTTGTGGATCAAATTTTATCTTCTCATGGTTATGCGTACTAAGTGATCAAGACTAAGTGTATTGAAATTTCATCAATTAAAGGTGTAAGGGTCAAGGTCTTTGTATAAGAAAAGTATGGAAGCATCATTTATTTATCATCCATCAAATTAGGGATTCATTCCCAATTCTTCCATCAATGTTTGATTCATGGACTTAAGTTAAATATTCATAATAGTGTGGATACTATGTGGAAATCATTTGAAAATAAATAACATAGAGGAAATTTCATCAAAGTCAATGTTCATCAAGTTACATTCAGTATTCATCCAAGTTTTATATCATTAGATCAAAATCCATATTTTGTTCCTCATGATTTATTACACCAAATATAAAGCCATTACAAAAATGTCAAAATAAATCACAAAAAAAAGCTACATTCAGCCTTTGGTTTCTAATCATAAGTTTTTGCATGCTCTAAATTTTGTCTATGTATCTTCAAGTACTCAAACCAACTTGCATTCAGACTTCCCATTCTACAATTCGGGTCGCTCAAGATACGACACAACAATGCTTTAATAAGACGGCTTTGAAACTGCGACTTGTTGTCAGCTTAGACCTTGTTGTAATATATCAAAGGAAAATCAGAAATCATTAACTCATGAACCACCATTCCACACATAATTGTATCCTTGTAAAATTGTTATGAAAACAGTTTATTATCGCCATGACTTAATCCCTAAAACCAGTTTCCTAACAGACTTCTGGTAATGACTCAATAACAGGAAGTACAGGAGGAAAATAAAGAGAGAGTGAAACTCATAAAATTAGAAAAAGCATTAAATCAGAATAAAATAAAACTCGATTGTATTTCCAGCTCAGCATTAGTACAAAACAATTGAGTCAAAAATAAATTCAGAAGATACATTTCGTCTAACTTCATAATAACAACCAGTTCTATAGAGCTAATCCCATAACTGTCATAACTTCATATTTCAAACTAGACGTAACAGAATTGTTCAAACTAACTAACCAACTCCCCAACCGTCCTAATTGATTATGTCAGCTCAACCTAACAGAATCAAAAACTAATTGCAGAGAAACTGAAGGAAAAAAATAGCTCAGCATCAATTGACAAAAATAGAAGGATAACAACCATCTAACTGACTTCTACAACAAAAATTAAAGCCTCTAACTAACACCTAACCGAATTCCCATACCAGTTCTAACCTCCTAACTGCTACTAACAAACTTCCAACAGCGATATATAACAGAAAAAGGTAACAGATTCAAAAAAGGGATTCATTATTTACATATCACAAAAACAAAGATACAATTTTCACGATTCATTATTCACCAGGAAAAAAACTCAGAGAGAGGAATCATTCACAAAATCTCAAGATTCAAATATTTAACCTTCAGTCGAAAAATCTAAAAAAGAAAACTCACCAAGGATCTAATAACTCTCTCAGTACTTCTCTACAACCTTTTTTGGATCAAGAGCTTCTATCATCTTCAACTTCTCAACATGCATCATCACCTTCATTCATGGTAACAACCTTCTTCAATCTTACGTCACCCCTTCAACATCATCATCACTACAATTTCACATCTCAACAACAACAACAAAAACTCAATAACATAGAGAAAACACAAAGTCAATGGAAACGAAAGATTGATTTGCAGAGGTAGAAGAAGAACATAGAATAAGAAGAAGTGAAAGATTTAGCAGAACTTATGCATCTTCGGAAATGCACCATAATCGCCATCGTCGAGGCAGGTTACACGATCTTTTTCCTTGATCTCTCAGTGCCACGATGTGGTTCAGGACTTGCTGGATATTTCCCATTTGCTTGTGGCTTGAAATCACATTTCATCATGATTCAATCTCCATTTATGAGCATATTAGGGTTTTCTTCCATGAACTAGATTTGGAGCTTGATGAGAAATCAGGGAAAACAAGATTGAGATTTGAGTTAGGTACGCATGTAGAAATCTCTAGTTGCAACGAAGATAATTTTGCATTGGTGATTTAGATCAGAGAACAAGGTTAAATTTCTGTTTGTGTCATTCGCGAACGAAAGAGAGAAGAAGATTGGGTCTCCATGTGAAGCCGAAATGTCTTTTATTAACCCAGCTTAAAAACAGTGTGTTCAGTTTCATCATTTCTTTCTCTCAAGTCCATTTAATTTAATTTCATTATTATTTTGTTTAGATAATTGAATTAATAAAAATTTGGTCAATAGCATATTGGATGAGGACTGAATTGAATATGAGGGGATAATGGACCGATCCACCCTTGTCCTTGGCCCAAAGGGCAATTTTTGTTAGCTTTCTGATTTGTGAAAAACTATTTTTGGACCAAGCCTAATGGGCTTAGCACCAACTTGCTGCAGCATACCTCTGGGCTAGAATCCAGCACCCCCTGTTTCATTCTTTCTTATTGCCTCTTTTAAGTTTCTTGCTCATATTTTTTTTTCAATCAATTTTTGTGATATTGGAAAGTAAGAGGACTTGGTTGAAGAGTTTCAAAAAGTTTTTGAGCTAACTAAGCGCATAATTGTTTATCAAGGAAATTCAAGGATATTTTCTGTAGAGTTTTCTCTTTGCTTATGGAGTTTTGAAGAGGCAACAAACCTTCTCCGTTAGGTATCACTGTGACTTTGTCTTATTCCTCATTTATCGCATTTCTTTACCGCTTTCTAGACATCATGAGAAGTATGAACTTTACTGCTTCCTAGATATCATGAGAAGTAGGAACTTTACTTCTCTTTGATGCCATGAGAAGTAGGAATAAATATGTATGATGTGGGTTGTAATACGGTGGCAGAACCGACTGTTATACTGGTTTTGTGTTTGTATTTGCAAATGTTACGGTAAGCAAGAATCACCACCGACTTTTCTTTTATCCAACAAGGAAAGGGTGAAAAGAACAAAAAAATACCTTTCGAGGTTATTTCTGAGTAAGGGGGTAGATTATAGAAAGGTAAGGTGTTAGCACCCTTTCCATCCGTAGTTATCTACAGGCTCTTAGATGCTAGATCATTTGAAAATACCTTGTGTTTGTGTGTTTGAAAAAGTATTTGGAAAAGACGCTTTAGTGCGGCAACTTTGTAATGTTTCTCGTGTCGTGGAAAACGTATACAAAGTGTATTTAAAAATATTTTTTAGAAAAGAGTGTATGTGTGGAAAAAAACTTTATTTTAGCAAGCATCTAAAAACTATCTACCTACTCGAAAAGGTTTATTATTTTCCTCTTTTCCTTTAGACAGTGTTATCCTACTATTAGTCAGTAGGTAACCCTATCGTTGGATGTTTTAGGGACAATCGAGGGTCGTTATACGGTCACAAAGGCAACTAATAAGATATCTTAGTAATTACCCTAGAGTTTTAAGATCATTTTACCGGAGCAACATCGAAAAGGTCATCGAGGGACCGATGATCTTTAAACCAAAGTGTCGCCACTAAAATTTCTTACATTCGAGAGTCGTGTCTGTTTTATTTCGAAGGCAACAAGTGGAGGTACCTTAGAGGTACGAGTGTGCGAGTGTGTTGTGTAACACCCCAATTCTACCTGACAATTATAAATGTAAATCAGAGTTATAAAATTCATACAACTGAATCAGGATGCCACAAATTCAACTTAAAAACACATTGCATTCAACATGGATACATAACACTTTAAAACTTCTGATGAACCATCAGCAATATAGTTTAATCTCTTCATTCAACAACTTGAACAACTATGCAGCGGAATCATAATAACATCTTTGTCCAACAATTACAACAACTTCAAAATAATGCATACTTAGCAACAAACAAATTAAAGTTCAACAACTAAAATAATCAATAACTAAAATCAACAAGCGTTCATCCCCCCGAGTGTTACGTATCAGAGCAATGACACCGACTCGAACTACCGAAGGTATACTTCCTTCACTCTGGATTACCTGCACGTTACCAACGTAAGGGTAACATTCAAACAAAAGAGGTGAGATATCTAACAATATAATAAAACGTATGATAAATAATATTTTAAATTAGATCACATAACATCACCACTTCTCATCTTATAAACAACAATAATCACAGTATAATACCAACAATAATACACATTCACCGTATCAATACACAACTTTTTTATGCAATCATATAATGCGACTCAATACTATGCAAATGCATATGGTACCATTGGAGCAGAACTCCCATATCAAAATAATTGCCAATAAATAGAGGCATCAACAAGGCATAAGCCTTCATCTTAATATTCGCCAATACATGCCATCTTAACGAGCATCAGCTCCATCTTGAAATGCAATGTATGTGACACAATCATGAATGTAATAATAACAACCATAATTAATAACATCTCAACACAACATCATCGTTGGCCAGAAGCCTACATCTTAATAGTTGTCAATTATTAGAGGCATCTCAACATCATTCATTAACATCATTCATCAACATAATCCATCAACATAATTCATCGCATAATTCATCAACATAATTTCATCAAGGTAATTCATCAACATAATTTTTA